ACTGAGAATCTGAGACTGTCTTCCTCAGTGGTGTTGATGGGACAGATGACCCTCTGAAGTCAATCCAGCTATCACACTTTATTGTCTTGGGATATTTCTTCAAATCAGCAAGCATGACTTCTTGAGGAAGAGATGTGTTGCGGCACTTCGGCCCTTAGGGTCCTCACCTCAAGCCCCTCAGAGACACGTCCTGTCCTCCTTCCGTCCAGATTGCTTTTGCTGTGGTATTTCGCTCATAACTCAAGGTCCTGGCATCATGCAGGGCTCTGTTTGCTCTCATTCTCTTTTCTCCACCTTTTGTCTTCATTTAGACTTTGAACACCAGAATTAAATGTCAGCTTTGGGTTTTGGCTTTGCTTTGTGCTTGTGTGAAATCGGGCTGAGCAGTGATGGAAGGATGTTAGGCATGCCTGTTACATCAGTATTCTTCGATTTGTGTTTTCCGCTCAATGGCTTTACTTTGAAACTCTGAAACTGAAGCAATCCCACAGTTGTGATTTTTACATTTTTAGAGGATGAATTATTGGATGTAGGATAAACTACTGTAATATTACTCATTTAAAAAAGTAACAACCATTCAAGCTAGTAACAAGTAGCTAACTGTAGATATTTAAAGTGGTCAGCATATATATATATATATATATATGAGCAATATCACTCGAGTATGAGAGTGATATTGCGTTTATACAACAGTTCGACGGAACATGTGTGTAATTAAACAAGAAACAACGGAGTGCCTAATAAGACCCTCTTTTGTGCGGAACTACTTCCTTCCGCCAAATAAATATAGAGCAGAACGATGTTGTCGCTCGGTTCCGAAGCGAAAAGCTGGTATGCATTGCACCTGCTGCCTTATTATACTCACGCTGTGATCAGCGGCAGCTGGATGCAATAATTGCATGCCAATGTGCATTGGCTCGTTTAGTTTACACTCGAAGTAGATTGGTCTATCGAAGCGATATCCCAATTCGTCGGTCACGACGTGACTCATAGTGACCGACTGAAAGGGAACGTTACTGTGATTATAAATATATACATTTATAAATGACAATTTATTTAGTTATATAATGATATATGTATGTGACTATGTATTCAGCTCATTGTGAAAATAGCATGTGACTGGAAAAGCAACCGTATTGTTTAAGCAGCTCAGCTACTGAAAAATGTAGTCAATTTAGTTGTGTCACTACTTTTAGTTACTCCTCAAAACTGGAGGCCGAGGTGTTAGATTAGATATTCTTTTCAATTTGCAAGCCAAAGCTGTAAACTACGTTGAGGCAAGAAACAGGGAATCTAATGAAAAGTTACATAATGGTCTGCGTGTTTGAATGTGATAACTTCATTTTAACGTAACTGGATTAGAGTGCAGCAGTGCAAAATGAGAGAATATTCAGGTTTTTTGTAGAATTATCATTTCTGCTGGGGAAACTGTTCAGCGGAACAGCAAAGCTGATAGGATCTTTCATCTTGTCTTCTCACTGTAGTTTGGCAGAAGGTGTCCACTCCAGCCAGGTGATTTGCCCCATTTCAAGCAAAAAAGAATGCTTAGTGCATCGTCTCAAGACTGATGAAGCTCTTTTCCTTTCTCTCTCTCTCTCTCTCTCTCTCTCTCTCTCTCTCTCTCTCTCTCTCTCTCCCATTCCTTCACTCACTCACGCGCTCGCTCACTCACTTATCCGACTGGGTAATTGCGTATTCCGGTCTTTTATTCTGCAGTCATAAACGTTAAACAGGAATACTGTTTATGGTAATGATTCTTCCATAAGCACCACGCAATACATGTAATTATATGACTCCGTCTAGTCAAATTGAGATGAGAGCAAATTTCTAGGGTTTCATTAAGATGGCAATTTCTTGGAATTACTGAATATTCCGGAGGCAAAATGGCTGCTGAGATTAGAGGAGGTTGCTTGAGAATTACTCATTTCTAAACCATCTGCTTCTCGAATTACACATTAGCCAAACTGTTGGTTCACAGTGGACTCTTATTGAATTACGGTGCAGTCATTGTGTTAAGGGCAGCCCGGCACACCAGCGCACCTCCGAACGTGGTGCGATCGCGGGCCTCAATCTTCTTTCTCATTGCCCTGGCTCAGCTCCGAACACCCCTTCATTTATCTTCAGGCTGTAGAGGGTGGAAAGGAGAAAGAGGACATTAAAAAGACTTGAAGCTGGATGTTAATCTCTATCAAATCCATTCAGTGACAGAATGACCCAAGCAGACAACAAACCGGCAACAGTATCTTGCAACAAAGTGGATGTGGGAAGAGCGATCTCTGCCATTCCTAGTCTGTTTATCCCTTCGTCCTGTACACATTAACATCTTAATAGGAATGTGTGTTAAAGCACGTCTTTAGCCCCCTCCCTTCCTTTTGACAAGCGTGAATTAGGTGTCAAGCCGATTCCCTCTGACTTTAATTGAATCTGCCTTCCCTCTGAAAAAGGGAAATCTGAAGTCAAAATAGCTTATTAGGTTTATCAAGTCATGTTTTGTTGGGTTTGGCAGTTAGCGCCAAAGCATCATCCCTACATCCCACCCCCACCCTTCCCACACAGGAGTTGTTTATGAGGTGAGATTGGGTGGGATGTTGTACAAGCACACCGCTCTGTGCTTTCTCGCTTTTCGTTATCCTCTAATAAGTTGTGGCCTGCCGTTTTTGTTTTTTGAACTCCCCCAGGAAATCCCCTCAGCTCTCAGGCTCAGGCCACAGATGAGAGCGGGAGATTGCCGTGGGTAAACAGGGAAGGCTGATCAACTCCTCGTGACTGTATTAACAAGCGTCGGATTGCTCAGACGAGACATCCTTCCCCACGCTTCCTTTGCCTTCTCATCGCGTTTTTTTATCGAGTGAGATGTTTGAAGTGGGGATGAGCCCGTAGACTGATAAAACCGTACATAGACCGTGAGATGTAGCAGGGAGATCACATGCTCTCTTCCCTGTTGGGTGTTCCCAGGGCTTGATTTTTATTAAAACGGACAGATTTCAACTTTTTCTATTATGTTATGTGAAGGTCACATTAAAACAGTCTCAGAAACTTTTTACCATTCCTCTGTTATTTATATTTGCTACTTTGAAGATGCCTTTTATTTATAGATTTTATTGTTTTACCCACATTCAGACCCAGACTTTCGAAATTAAAATAGGAAAATTATCACATTAAAATGTTATAAAGAACCACAAATTTGCTTGAGAAATTAAACTTGCAATATGCAAAAAATAAATAAATAAATAAAGCTAGCTATACTTGGCCATTTGTTTAAAAAAAAATGTTAAAAATGTCACTTCCACAAGAGAATGCTATTAAATACAATACATCATTTGAAATGTGGTGGAAATGTTTATTATTATCAGGGGGGAAAAGCATGAAGAAAATACAGTTTTTGAAAGTCCACAAGGCCAAATGTGCCCATATTTGAAGAAACAGCCCTTGATGTGCACAGAAAACTGTGGCACAAATCTTAGGTGTTGTTAATTAACAGTCTTGGTGACATGGAGGTCTTTCATGTCTTTCATTGGCCGGCTTTAGAGTGATGTCTCCTGTCTATTTTCTCTCAGTACTTCTCTTCAAACTCTTTCATTTCCGAGCCGAGTGTGAGATATTGATGAAAAATTTTGCTCCTCCTTTGCTCTGTGAAGAACCAATCAAGTCCACAGCATTAACTTTGGGTTGTCATGGATCCCTACACTTGATCAATAAACTTCACATATCATTACTCTGCGCAGTCTCGGAGGCCTTCCTTGTTCTCTGGCTGAAATGGAATAAATCTTTGTTAAAAATTGCTTGTGATTTGCACTTTTAGTCTTGAGGGCAAAGTGTATTTCTTTAGCTCTGGCTTCAGACGGCTCACAGTTTGTGCCAGATTCGTTTGAGTTATAGTCAGGACTGTAGTTGACAGAAGAATATAAACAACAAGGCCTGTGTCTTCAGAGCTCCACTTTCACACTCGTAAATGTTTAACCAGTTTCACTCACGCTTTCTGTTTGCATCAGTTCTGTTTGTTGGTGCCTGTCTATAGTTTGGAGGTCTTATTCTGGAAAGGTGGATTTCAAAGATACTTGAATGCCTATTGCAGGCCGTATCTAAAATGTCTTACACATTAAAAAACATTTTTATCTACATATGTAACTTCAGCATTCATTCATCTTATACATTTTACGATATGATTACTATGTGTTCCTCTTTTCCCAACTAAATTATCTTCTTTCTCCTCAAAAGTATTTTTTTTTCCAATTAAATTTATTATCTAATATTTACAGTTTATCATTATAGTGAATCTGAGTAAGATTAATACTAATGTGTTTTGTCTATTATGGAATCACAGAAAGAATATGTGTAGCTTGTCTAAAAAATGTAATTTGGTTGCACTTTCTATAGAGCCTGCTTTCTGCATAATGCTTTCGTAATACCTTATAATTCACCTCCTTATCAGCTGTATGATAATGTAAATTAATACATAATACTATAATACAAATTTATAATTTCATGCACTAACTTTCGTAAGCTTTTTAAAAGGATTTTATACTTTATTCAACATTAAACTGATCAAAAGAGACAGTAAAGGTGTTTACTGTATATTATGCATATGTTACAAGAGATTTCAATTAAAAAAAGAAAAAGAAATGCTGTTCTTTTGAACTGTCTACTCATCAAAGAATCCTGGAAAAAATGTATTACAACTGGAGTAATGACTGCTGAAAATTCAGCTGTGCCATTTAGATATATTAAAAGAGAAAATTGTTATTGAAAATGTTAATATAATATGTTATAATATTACTGTTTTTACTGTATTTTTGATCAAATAAATGCAGCCTTGGTGAGCATAAGATACTTCTTTCAAAAACATGGAAACATCCTACCGACCCCAAACTTGTGTACATTTTTAAGGTGGCTTTAATAATGCATTATACATTATAAACAAGCTTCATATGCAGTGTTATATCTTCTGTTTGTTGATTCTGTTGCAAGTAACACATCATCTCTTGACTCTTTTCTGTCAGATTCACAAGCAGGACCAGAAGCACAGAGATTGGACCATGCGGTTATCGGAGGAGTGGTGGCCGTCGTGGTCTTCGCCATGTTGTGTCTTCTCATCGTTTTGGGACGATACTTTGCAAGACACAAAGGTAATTCAGCCCCCAGACTTTCTTGCGGCACACTGCCAAGGTCAATAGACTTTCTAATTACTTGGAATAAGATTCTGGATAGGCGAAGAAGCCATCCTGTCGTTGAAGCTCTGCAGGTGCTTTGAATTGGCCCGTGGCTACGACCACATTAAGGCCGCTATCCCTCTGATTGCATCGCACTGTTGTGTTCTGTAATATAAAGTGGGCGCAGCATCTCCACTTTTCATCATGGCTACTGCCTTCATTATCACGCGACTGACTGAGAGGATGGGAATAATCCCACTCGGAAATGAAGTTTAAAGTGGTTCGCTTATTCCCACCACCTTGTAACACTTTCCAAGGTTAATTCTAAAGCGCAAAGTCAAACTGAACCCAAAACTGGAGAAGATTTTATGGAAATTTCCTGAATTATTAGCCACAAATAACTGAGTGCGTGTCAGACTCAGTTTTCGTCTCTTTTCTTGTTTGTTTTATCTAATAGCGCTCGATCTAGAGGGTCAGATTTCATCTGCCGTGCTGTAATCAAAGTGTCTCCATCATGGGGTATTAGTTTGGGGATGTATTACCTGTTGTTCTCACACATGAAAGACAGTGTAATGCAACCAAATGCAGCGTGGTGAAATTAATGCCTTATTTATGGGCAGGTAAAGTCCCTGGAATCGACCCTCACTCTAAATTAGAGAAGCAGCTCCAGATGGTCTTTAATCTCTTTTAAAACCCCACAATTGCTTCAATCAGAGGCCCCGGGGTGCTGGAGATATTGCTTTTATCAACGCGCTTTTCTTTGAAACCCACACAGGCACCTACTTCACACACGAAGCCAAGGGGGCAGACGATGCAGCGGACGCCGACACGGCCATCATCAACGCCGAAGGGGGCCACAACAACTCGGACGAGAAGAAGGAGTACTATATCTGAGTCCCGAGGCCTCTGTTGTTCTTACTATTTTCTTTTGTTTTGTTTCAGCGGGAGGGGGCGGGGCATGGGGAAACTGAGATAGTTTTTGTTTATTTGTTCGATTTTCTTTCCTGGGGATTGAATGAAGTAGAATGCTACATGGGCAGCTGAGAAGATGTAGGTATTTGTGTTATACAGCGGGATCAGGGTCAGCAAAAGCCATCCATCACGTCACACCCCAAACCACCCTCCCTGAAAACATACATACACCACATTCTCTGATTATCGACTTTATCAGCTTTCCTATGAAGGTACATGAGCGCACACCTCAATACATTCCCCTATACTGTGGGCATCTTTCAAAACATCATATCCTCTGTACTAAGCAGGCCTAGTCACATGACAGCATTTTGATTAACTCAAGTCAGCAGCATCATGAAGGGAAGTACAAGCAGCTTCCTTCCTTCCTGTACCCCAATAAGTTGATGAGACCAGCGGAGAATTGATCCTGAACGTTGCACCTGTTTTCATTCTGACATTCTGCGTCTGCAGAATGCTTTTATCCTCGGTTTACTTCATTTACTTGAGTTTTTTTTTTCTCCCAATTATACTGTATGTGCCAGTACATTTGAAGAATAGCTACCGCTCAGAATGAGCATAGGTGCAGACGAACGCTTCCTGCTACACTGCACCTTCGGAGGCTTCTCATCTCGTTCTGCTCAGCTACACACAACCGAAAGCCCTTGCAGGTATTTATTGTTTTGGTATAATGATGTCTTAGGTTTTCTCAGCATTTTCATCCAGAAATGTTTTCGCACATGCCATAATGACGAAACAGTCGCCATCACTGAAAAAGGTCTAAATGATGTGGCTTATGTTATATTTTTTCGTGCTGTAGTTTCCCATGCAGGGCTGGTGAAGGTGACCCTCTAGCACACGTAAATAACTACCTAAAATAGTGTCAACGCAAGACGTTTTTGAGTTTTAGAGCCTGCTTTTGTTAGGCTCAAGGGAGGAAGCGCCACGACCATCATGTTTGTAGATGTACAGAGAGGAAAGATTTGGAAATGGTTTGATTACTATAACTTTACTACCTTAAAATGCATTTTAACAGCCAAAAAAAACATCTGCATTTGTGTATCTTGTTTGTAGGCGAGTCAGTGAGGATGTGACATTGATGTTAAGCAGTCCAACAAGTGTGTAATGGTACATGATTGCCTGTCAACTTAATTGCCTTTTTGTTCTTCCTCAGAGGAAACAGTGGCAATCGCAGCTAGCTTATCCTAGTGATATTAGTATTTGAATATAAACTGCCCAAATATCCCAGACTCGATGGTGCGAAAAAGCACCACGGTGACATAATTTCCTCTTGAAGTGTAAACAATGTGTGTTTTATTGTTTATAATTGCTGTGAGTTGCTCCTCCGGGTTCCTGCTTATGCATAATAGTCTTCAAATGAGGTTAGTTTGAATGGAGAGTGAAGCAGTCTTTTATTACCAATACAGTTTGAAAAAGAATTCGAAAAAGCTTTTAATAACATTCCAAATATTTTAGGAAAACCGCCTACAATGTAATTAGCCGCATTTGTGGATTTCCCCCTATATTTACAGTCGTTGTCAGCACATGACGCTAACCAAAAAACTCTGCCGACGCGCTCAAGTATCATGCTCTCTTCGCTCCTGTGAACGCATTAGACATTTCACCGGAGCCTAGCTACAAACGTAGCGCCCATTAAGGGTACATAATGTAAGGTGGCTAAGATGTCTAAAGTACTTTTCCTAAAGAGTATTTCTTCTCATTTACTCATGACTCTCTCTGTAGTGTAAGTGAACTTAGATGCCATAGTTTAGGCCCGAGAACAATAAAACCGCGAGGCTGAGGAGGGAAAACGTACTCTTGTTTGCTTTATTTTCTTATTTAAAAAACAAAAAACAAAAACAAGCATCCACTGAGACGTTTTAGAGTATGTGCATTAACCATGAGAAACACTTTGGACGCATTTGTTTTTACGTAGAATATAAATCCGAGGGAATGTCTTGCGCTTGATGGTTGCCGTTGCAGTTGAGATATACAGTTGTGTGGCTTGTGCTTAACTAGTGAGCATCATTTAGCTTTGGTCTGGCAGCTTTTGAACAGGATTTCAGACATCCCTTCTTCTCTTTTGCATATGTGAGAGACATGACATCAGTATACTAATTTGTGGTATTTAGACTGGGCCGATGTACATTTTGTTCAACTTGTTATGTTAGACCTGTTTTAATGTGATTAATGTGGTTTAATCCACTCTAGTAGGCGTCTGAGGACTTAAGACAGATGGTCGATGGGAAGACGCGGTTACGCCAGTGATCTATTTTGTCCTCTGTCTCTTGTACAGCAAGTCGAAAAAGGTTTAATTGAAAGTGTCCAAATATAACTGCTTGTTTTGAGATGTGAACTGGGTACGGTTTCAGTTTTGTCATTTCTGTTGTCGTTTTTGTTGTTTTTGTTGCTTTAATAGTGCCCCTTGTTTGATAGTGCAACAGTGTTGCTGATGGAACTTGATTTGATTTCTTTTATTTGAACTTGACAGTTTCATTTAAGCCCTGTCTCAGGTTCACGTACAATAAATGGTATGTTTGCATCTCAGGTAGAATGCAAAGTTACAGCCCCTGATTAAGAAAGTGGAAATTGCATACAAACCAGATCAAGCTGGATCTCAAATCTAATGGTGAATTTTACATTAGAACTACGTGTTACGTATTTTCTGTTGTTGTTGTTGTTTATTTGGCGCACTGTAAAATGTGTATGTAATGTACACACTGTGTTGAGTATTATCTTTTTTTTAGACCTACTTCACACAGAGAGGACAGGAAAGGACAAACCAACGGCTCTCATGATAAAACGTAATTATTTTATGGGTTTTAGAAGAAGAAAAAAAACTAAGCATGAAGATTCACCTGAATCTAACCATCAGTGGGGCATAAGCAGATCATACGAAAATGTACAAATGAAATTATACAAATTCACCCCCAATTCGGCAAAACGTAAAATAGTTAAGAATTGCCATGAGAGTGTGTTGGGGCAAACAAGTAACAATTTGAAATCAAAGTCGACATGTTTTGAACGTTTATCATTCATTGTTTTTAGGTTGCTTATTTTTTGTCTTTCTGCTGTACTTGGGCAATGTTACTGTGTATTAATGAAGAAAAAATGATATCCACATTCCCATACACATTTTGTATTTGTTCATATTAGACATTTTTACAAAAAAAATGGAGAGTTCTTGTCTTAATAAAAAAAGAAAAGAAATTAATGTTCAAAGTAATGCTTGGTTTTGGTGGTGTTATTTCCTGTGTTACATGACATGAAAATCGTATTCATCTTTTAAAGGTAAAGTCAAACTTCTGAAAGCATGAGTGAAAAGACATATATTTTGCTGTCGTCAATGATATACACCGCAGCGGGATCTGAATCTATTTGAAAACTGGCAAAATCTCATCAGCAAAATGTGGTACGTTTATCTTACAGGATACTTGTGGCATTAATATTTGAGATTCACCATCTTCCCTTCAAAGAATGTGTTACATTAAATGTTCCTAAAATATTATGTAATAATACTATTCACATTTCAGTATCCTTGGTATGTTCTTTAGACCGGTGAATGTAACAAAATATATCAGATGCCATGTGATCATATAGAATTCTGCACACAAAGAGTGTTGAATTTGCTTCCAAAGATACATTAGTAATCTCATTTTATTTCCAATTACATTGAGATGGTTACTAAAACACTCCAGGATCATTTACTGGCCTTTAAAGTTTACTTCTGCTTTACAGCGAGTTCACGAAATCCAGTCGAGGCTCACGGTTTCACATCTCATTATCTTTGGCATTCTCCAGCTCTGTCAAACTTCTGCCTTCTGCATTGTGCTTTTATGCAGCTGAACTTCGACCGAGGCAGCCTACAGAAAGAATATCTCTCTAAGGTATAGTGCGCTTCCCGCCGCTTCTTTCTCAAGCTGTCTCATGCCCACACCCTGACCTCGCCTCCCAGTGGCAATCTCAGCGACACACTCTGCAGATGCTGACCTTGAGTTGTAGCTTTTTTTCTTTTTTTCTTCCCTCTATATGATGCCTGGTTTTCGATTGCCTGAGCAGGAGCTCAGCACCAGCGTTGTCACACAGCCAAGGCTCAAAGTCACCCTCTGCTCAGATAGGATGAATCTCAAGGTACAGGCAGAGAGGAGCACAGATGTCACGTGGAATCATCTCCGTTCCTGAGAGAGACAGAACCAGATCTGGGGGAGAAGAGAGCGCTTTGTGGCTCAAGGCGATGGCAGGATTTCATCATGTCCTGTAGCTTTGCTAGGTTACAGCAGAGCCTGTAAAGTTACACTATATCTGGATTAAAAAAACACATTTTAATACTTTTTGACATTTTCTTGAGCTGATGCGATGGAGTTAGCTCTCGGCACAAATCGTTGCGATTTAAAACAATGCTGCACACAATGTGAAAATTCTGTCATCTGTTACTCACCCTCATGTCATTCCAAACCCCTTCGCTGTTCGCTTCCATGGAACACAGAAACTGAATTTTGATACTTAGAAGGAAATACTTAAAAGTCCTGGTTTTTACAAAAGGCACATAAAAACTAAAATGTTTTATTTATGATGATGTCATATTTGACTACTGAACATAGTTTCCCCTCCTGCAATGTTTCAAATAATGACATTGTGAACAATCATTTGAAAAAAGTTTTCAGTTATCATTTATTGTCATCTAGTGTTTTACTTTATATCATATTTGATTATATATTTTAAGAACAGATTACTGATTGTTAGATTTGATGTCTCGCATCAGATTAAAGTGATGTGCAGTTTACATACTGCATAGAAAGAATATTAAATGCAAGTGTCTACTTTAATGTTTCAAATAACTTTTGTGAAAATAAAATGTCGAAATATGGGTGAAATAATGTTCCATCACCATTCAGCATAACATATTTATGTAAAAATGAAACAACTTGCTTATTCTGACCTGTACTTATTAAAATATATAACAGAAAAGTGATCATGCTACATTTTATTATATTTTAAATTATTAAAACTTCTTGCTGACAAGTAGGCCAAACCTAGTGGTTTGAAAGATAGTGGCAAAGATTGGAAAATATTTAAAATGACTGTTAATTAGTATTTTGGGAGCTGCACTGTGATCCTTAAATAATCCT